ATTGTACAGTGGCATTGAGTACCGTAATGTACACCTCTGCCTACCCCTTCAGGGACAAAAAGCGTGATGTAATGTGTCACAGTAATTATTGTAATATAAACATTTGTACGCTACCGACTTTCTGAATCTATCTCGATTCTTGACAGACAGTCGTCCATACGTCCCGTTCGGGGATAAAAGACGTGATGTTATGCTATAATATCTGACCTGTGCCTCAGTGAGTTGCAGTGCGTGAGCGAGGTACAGTCGCTCCGGGCCGACCATGTACTGCTGCCGCTCAAACTCCGCTTCCAGCCGCTCCAGCTGCTCCGGGGTAAAAATTGTACGTATTCGCTTACTTCGACCGGAACTGCGTGGAGGAATATTGATTAATTACAAAATAAAAACATAAACAAAAATGTATAATATTTTTTTATAACATTTGCCCACATTGGGATTTCTCTTGTATCGTGAGTGCGTTTACAAACATACAAGTTCAAATACACATCACACCCAGACCCGGAACAACCATCTGTGGATCACACAAAGTTTTTTCGCTGCGTCGACCGCTTTTAAAGGTCGACATGCGTTTCTAGTCAGTAATGTCGGAATACTGAAACGCTACTCAATTTTAAGTCGTGCTTAAATATAGTTATATCTCTAATTCTTTGTAAAATGACAGAGATGGCACGATATTTGACCGTTCCTTCTCCTGCTCTTTAAACCAGAACCCGGCAACCCGTTAAGTCCTTCACAGCTTCGTGCTTAACAAACGGTTTAGAGATATGAATATAAAATAACATGCATGAAATACAAATTACTCTAACCTGTTAGAACACGTCATAGAGTGACTTCTCGAGGTCTTCATCTGTCCCACTTGTGGTCTCATCTCCGGCCGCGGACTGTCTGTAAGGAAACACCATGTCATCATCATCATCAACAGCCTATAAGTGACCAATGCTGACCAAAAGTGAAGAAGGTTTAAGCATTTCTAATTATAAGTTTTTAGCCTTATAATTAGAAATTATAAGCCCAGGTTTCCTCACGATGTTTTCCTTCACCGCTTATCAGTGGTGTTTAAATAATCTTAGAAAGTACATATAACTCGGAAACCGTCAGATTGGTCCTTGCCGTTGGTAGATTTCGGGCTCGCGCTCTCATGCATGAGAAGCAAGCAATTTAAACCTCCGTGCCACAACGACACTATGTTAGGAGGTAAAAAATAGCACTTATAAAATAATAATAATATTAACAACAAGACCCATACAATTTTATTTATTTATTTATTTATTTATTCTTTAATGTACATAATTTGTTTATGGTACATAAGGCGAACTTAATGCCATATGGCATTCTCTACCAGTCAACCTTAGGGTTTAAGTGGAAAATCTGCGAAAACTGAGGTACGGAGAATAAACTAACAACAAAGAGAGAGAGAGAGAGAGAGAGAGAGAGAGGAAAAAATAATGGTAATTATTAAATAATATAGTTATACATATATATTACATAATAGTAAATAGTATATATAGTCATATGCATAAAATATATAGGTATAAATACATACATAAATATATATCGACGAAGACCTAGATCTAGCGTTGCAGCGATTTTAAATAAAATTCATGAACTTGGTGTTTGAAGGAGATTTTATTAGGAGCTTTTTTGATATTGAGGGGGAGCGCATTCCAAAGTTTGATGACACTTATTGTAAAAGAATTAGAAATAAAAGAGGTCCGGTGGGAAGGTATCTCGAGAAGCAAGTTGTCCGTCGAGCGGAGGTTACGGTTGTGGCAACTGCCTAATAGCTGGAAGCAGGATTTTAAGTAATCTGGAGCACAAGGATCATTAAGAATAGAGAAAAGCATGCAGAGGGATCTGAGGAATCTCCTCTCACGGACAGGAAGCCATTTAAGCTGAGCGCGAAAGGAAGAGATGTGGTCGTATTTACGAAGACCGAAGATAAAGCGGATACAGTTATTGAGCATTCGATCCAATTTGTTAAGAAGGTCTTGGGATAGATCGGAGTAACAAACCTCAGCATAATCAACAACAGGAAGCACAAGGGACCGGACAAGCAGATATTTGGTGGCAGAAAGTTCTTGAACCTGTAGAGAGATCGTAGCGTGCCAGTCACCTTCCGGCCAATCTGAGCAACCTGATAGTTCCAGTTGAGCCCGCTGTCCAGATACAAACCTAGATCCTTTACGTGAGGAGACAACGGTATGGTGGTTTGATTAAAAGTTATCGGATCAAGCTGATTGACATTTAGGCTATTCAAGTAATAGGAGCTACCTAAGATGAGGGCTTGACATTTGCCTACATTCACTGCAGTCCCATACCTCCTTGACCAGTCTTCAATCGCAAGCAAGTCAGTGTTGAGATGTTCTATGCAAGTGTTCAAGTTAGCGATATCAGCCTGAGCGTATAGTTGTAGGTCATCGGCGTAAAGATGATAAGAGCATTTGAGGAGACTAGTGATAGAATTTATGAATAGAGAGAACAACAAAGGAGAGAGTATACCGCCTTGTGGTACACCAGCTGTTAGCCCGCCCCAGTCGGAGAATTCCTGACCAACGCGTACCGCCTGCTGATTTTCCCCTCATCCTGAACAGACATTTAAATCCCCAAACTACTAGGTACTTGTAACTCGTCTAGTGTTGTGGGTGTCCATACCCAATAGCGGTGATTGCTTACCATCAGATGATTCGTCTGTTATTCCATAAAAAAAGACAAAAGTAAATATATTACCGACATATATTTTGTTTTTAAATACCAATTAACACAGAAAAAGTAACATACCTACACAGACCATATCACAAAAGAAATACCAAAAGGAAATTGAAACTCATTAAAAACCTAAACAGCAAGAATTCAAATTAACATAAACGAAAAAAAAAAGAGCAAATAAATCCATTGACAACATTTTTTTATTATAATGTTGGTTGCGGGCCTGTGCAGACGTGATACTTTATGGTACTAAAGACACAACTTTATAAATAAATGTATTTCAAAACAAAATGTTTTGACATTTCAGTATAATAATATGTTCAAAAATAATCATTTTAATTAATTGATTTAACGATTTCAAACTACGCATAATCATAACAATGTATTTTGTATTGTATCTCATATCGGTGCATTCAAGAGCATTAATCACCGCACTTACTCAATTCAGATTGGCGATTTTAAACTTAGAATTCAATATGATAAGATTTTTTGGTACGTTTTTATTTTATTTTGTAGATAAAATCATTTCAAACAAGCAATTTCAATATTTTAATTTTCTAGGCATTTAAAGTTTTGGTATTTAAAGTTTTAGGCGTAAAATAGGCAGAATAACTTGGTTTCTTGTCATGATACATTTTTAATATTTAAAAAGGAACCAACGTCTAATTTGACATCAGACAATTTAGATCACTCTAATTGACAATTAACTAACTTATTATTTTCTGTAAGTAAGGCACGGACAATAGTCACACCAGTCTTATTTTATCAAAATAAATTTAATCTTACAATTTTAAGAGCTAAAATCACGATAACATAACCTAAAATCTCGAAATGGTTTTCGATTTTTCATAGGTTATTTTTACTTAACATACCGAATTAAAAATTATAAAAATCTGAGCCAAACAAAAAGTCGCCCGTCTGCACAGTCCCCTAATCCCTTGCATATTGTCCACCTGCAAGCCGTTCTGTCAAAATGAATTCATCCAAGATGGCGACTCCGTTGTGAGTGACATCAAATAAATATGTTTCGTTAATTAAAGCGTGGCATTGCTAACCCTTCGTTATTCGTTAGTGGGGTAGAGATGACGATCGTTAACCATTTTTTTTTAAATAAATATTCACAAGCTTTTTAAAGAGTGTGATTTGTATTGTACCTTTTTTGTTTTATTTTGTAGTGGATGCATGGGTGGTATTTGTTATTGTTTATTTTTATAGATTTTTGTGCATGAATTTTTAAAATGATTTGTATTAATAATTTTTAAATTTCATACTTTATTTATTGTTTTATACTCGATGTCCGCAAAAGGCGGTACGGAAAAAATACTTGTGCGATAATTTTAGCGGTATATGCTTTTTGACTCATATTTTTATTTTAATTCTGCTTAATTTTTTTTTTAATTGCTGTGAAGTCTATATACAATATATAAAATTAAAGTCGTGTTAGTAACACTATTTAAAACTAAAGAACGGCTTAATTGGGTTGGCTGGAAATTGGAAGGGTGATAGCTTAGAACCAGGAGACGGACATAAGATACTTTTTACCCAACACTTATTTTTACTTTTTACCGAAAATCAGGAATGGGGACGGGTAAAAACGGGATTGGATTAAAAATTGTGTGCGAAGTCGCGGGCAGAAGCTATTATTAAATAAAAACAAGCGACAGCCTGTTTCATTGTATATTCACAAAAGATAACTGGCGCCCAACATGGGTCTGCTTAGTTCTTATACGAGAATATTAAACTCCGTCTGGTAGATTATTTAAAAATATTAGACACTTTTTATTTTCTTACAGGAACGAATAGTTTCGAAGATATATTGATTTGAAGTTTCGCATGACGTCACGTATGAGTACGATTTATACTATAAAATGACGTAGCTATCTCCCACTCCTAAACTTTGATTCGTTTTATCTAAGTATTGTTTTCTTATACGACAAAATAAAAAATACGTGTCTAATATTTTTTCATTACCTAACTGACGGACTAATTAGATTTTTTATTTACATACTCTGTCATCATCCCAATTATTTATGTTAAAATATGCAATATAATTTCACTTTTTTTACTATTGTTAGTTGGCAACAAGCCTGTTATGTTCTTTCTCTCTTAACCTGTCATGGTGGTGTAAAACAGTTGAGTTAAATTAAAATAAGTGTGGGAGAGCCATGCTTCGGCACGAATGGGCCGGCTCGACCGGAGTGATACCACGGCCGAGCAGAAAACCGACGTGAAGCAACGCTTGCGTTGTGTTTCGTCGTGTGAGTGAGGTTACCGGAGGGCCAATTACCCTCCCCTTCCCCAATCTCCCCAATTCCTGAATCCCAACGATCCTCAAACTCATAATCCCCAAAAATCCGGTAACGCACTTGTAACACCTCTGGTGTTTCGGGTGTACATGGGCGACGCCGATTGCTTACCATCAGGTGATCCGTCAGCTCGTTTACCGGCTTATGCCATAAAAAAAAATCTCTGTGTTTCACATGTCATATAAGTAGTGCACAAAAAATATATAAATATAGTCAGAATTATAATTAGATTCCAAATTTGACAATAGTCACTGTCATTTTGTGAAATAATGATACCACATATAATAGTGTAGTGATGAACACAAAAATCGATAAACAATCAGTGTGTGTGTTTTATAATAAATGTTACAGAAAGTGACAGGATAGCGATAGCGATGACGGCGACAATTTAT